CCCTCCCTCCCTCCCTCCCTCCCTCCCTCCCTCCCTCCCTCCCTCCCTCCCTCCCTCCCTCCCTCCCTCCCTCCCTCCCCTCCCTCCCTCCCTCCCTCCCTCCCTCCCTCCCTCCCCTCCCTCCCTCCCTCCCTCCCTCCCTCCCCTCCTCTTCAGTTCTCTCTCCTCTCCTCTCCCCTCCTTCTCCCGCTTCCTTGCTCTCTTGTCGTCCTGTCCTCCCCCTTGTGCTGATCTTGTTCAGCTGTACTCGGAGCTCCTTGCTCAGAACCTCGTCAAGGCTGCCGCAATGCCCATGCAGCTTGTGAACGCTGCCATCCTCTACCTCCGCCGAGAGGTTCCTCGAGGTTCGCCTCCTACTCCTTTCTCTCCTCTCACCTCCTCCCCCCTTCTCTCATGGTTCGCCTGACTCGAAGTAGCTTCCCGATCGCTGCCCTCACCTATGCTCCTCAAGTCTTACCGCAAGGCGCAGAAGATGTCAGGTAGGATGATGATGATGACGACGATGATGATGATGATGACGACGACGATGTTGTTGTTGTTGATGATGATGATGATGACGACGACGACGACGATAATGATGATGATGATGATGATGATGATGATGATAAGGACGATGAGGGCAGAGCCTGAGTTTGATCCCCTCCCAGGTATTCCCAAGAAGCTTTTCGCTCCATACCTGACAGCCGGACTTCTCTACGTAAGCGACGACAGGAATCGAGGAGAATGAGGGGAGGAGGGCAAGCGAGAGGAAGGGAGCGATGACGAGCTGAGGGAGGGAGCGGGAGGAGGGAGTTGAAGGAGGATAGAAGGAGGGGATGCAATGTAGGGAGCGGAGGGATGGAAGAGGTAAGGCAGGAGAAGGGAGGGAAAGAGAGGAAGGCGAGGAGGGAGGAGAGGAGGGAAAGAGAGGAAGGAGGAGAGGAAGGCGAGGAGGGGAAGGAGGAGAAGGGAGGAGGGGAAGTAACGAGGAGGAGCAGGTGTCGCTCATGGCGTACGTCTCCAACGTCCCCTCTGTCATGGAGCCGCTCAAAAATCTCTTTTCTTAAGGTTATGATTCCTCATTCCTTTCCTCCCTCCTCTTGTACCCTATCGGTCGTCTTGTTGCCCAGCCGAAGCAGCTCGACCTCTCTGATTGCTAACGAGAGTCTAAAGTAATGGTAAAGTTGTGTTCTGTTCACTTTCCCCTCCTCCTCTCCACTGCCCTGTCCTCTCTTCACCTCCGCTACCGTCCCCTCACTCTCCATCTCCCTTTCCTCTCTCTCTGCCTCTCCTCTCGTGCCTCTCCCTGCCTTCTCCTACCCTCTCGTTACGCCTCAGCACGTCTGGTTGCCCCGGCTCCCTGATTTCTTCCTCTAACCTGAGGTGTCATTCCTCCCTCTCCCTTCTCTCCATCCTCCTCCCACTAGTCGATGTAGTACAATTTGAGAGCAGGCAGCAAAGATCAGTAGATGATTTTCTTCGAGATTGAGTTGGCAAGGGAGTACAAGAGACTAGATATCATGCTGCGGCGTTTCCAATAAAGCCGTAGACAGCTGACAAGGAAGGATTCTTATGCCTCACAGTCTTCACCTCTGCCTCCCCCCCCTCCAGGAGATTCGCCGTCCCGTCCTCCTTCCTCCGTCTCTCCCAAGTGCCCAGCTCCCTCTCCTCCTTCTTCATCATCTGTTAGAGAAAAGTCAGCTCCCCTCCCCCTCCGGCTATCCCGCCCTCCTCGCCTTGAAGCTCTTGTTCACTACACTCTGCTTCTCTTCATTCCTCAGAGTTTCTCGTTCGAACTCTGACAGCACTCGATCTTGTGCCTTCCGTGACTTGGGAAACGCAACCTTGAGGCAGCATGTCAGATCGTCAGAGCCGATCGAGATTGCACATCGTCTCAATAGCTCTCATTATCGTCATCGTCATCGTCATCATCTCCATCATCATCATCATCATCTTTTCTTCTTCTTCTTCTCTCATCATCATCATCATCATCATCATCTTCTCTATCATCATCATCATCATCATCATCTTCTTCTTCTTCTCTCATCATCCCAAGGGTCCCTCACATGCTTGAGGTGCATGAGCTTTGCATTGACGGGCGTCTTTTGCTCCTTCTCAGCTGCCGTCACTTTCTTGCTGGTGAGCGAAGTTGTTGGCGCCGGCTGAGTTGCATGGAGGACGCGAGCAGTCGCCTGCTGATGCGCCTGGCGATAGCAACATGAGAGAGGGAGAGGGAGAGGGAGAGGGAGAGGTAGAGGGAGAAGGAGAGGGAGGGAGGGAGGGAGGGAGGGAGGGAGGGAGGGAGAGATGGAAGGGGAGAGAGAGGAGAGGGGAGGGATAAGAGAGGAAAGGGGGAAGGATAGGAGAGGAATAACAGATCTTACGTGTGAAGGCGACAGCTGAGGTTTGTGATTGTAGTCGACAAACGGCAGCTTTTGAGAACCTGCTTCAAGATTTTACAACAACAAGCGAAGGATCATCGCGAAACCTTGATGGGCGCGTTTGAATGTGGCTGCTCTCTGCTCGCGAATCGAGTTGATCTCATCTAAGGTTCTCTCCTATACAAACGTTTAAGACACGAAAGGGTTTGTCAGCGAGTGTCAGGAGGAGGTACCTGGAGGTTATCGAAGTAGTTGTTCATGTCATCTTCTTCTGTTGCCAAGGTCCACTTCTTGGCGACATGGAACGGCTCCTTGTTGTCCTCCTTCGCCTCCTTCGCCTTCTCTTTCCTCAAATCCCGCATCAACTCGAGCCTCTCCAGCCGCTCGACCCTGGTCAACCCGACACGCCCCTGAGCTCTGCTGTACATGATGGCTGGCTGAGGTCTCTGCTCCGCATGCTGGCCGCTATGGACGAGCAAGAGAACGGCAGCGGCAGCGAGCAGGCATGCTGCGACTACTCTCCCCCCTTCCCTCGCCATGGCGCTCGCCATGTCCCGAAGAGACAGCGAGGGGCCTGAGGGGGGACGAGGGCTGGTTGAATTAATATGAGGGGGATGAGTGAATATGAGGGGGATGAGCGATTACGGGGGCTGCTTTATGCTGACAAGCGCTTGAGGTGAGGTGAGGAGGAGGAGGAGGAGGAGGAGGAGGAGTAGAAGCAGAGGAGGGCGAGGACGAGGAGCAGTAGGAGCAGGACGATTGGGAGGATGACCAGTAGGAGAAGCAGCAGGAGATGCAGCAGCAGCAGGAAGAGGAGCAGGAGGGGTTTTGGGGGACGGGTGGTGGTAGCAAGGTTTTATCGCAGAAGATGGCAGAGAAGCAAGCGAAGGAACAAGTTTGAGGTAGAATAATGTATCTTGACTCATTTATCTCATCCGACAGAAACATACCAGCGACTCCAATCTTCCAAATGTCCGAAGCCAAGCATGGTGAAAGATGCGTCCCCTAGCATACCTGACGCTCCTCTCCTCAGATCCCAACCTGAAACCAGTATGCAACCTGGTCAACGCATTGCTCACAGACATGTATCAAGTAATCCGTTCTTGTTGTCTTTCTACGCATCACCAAGCCATGCAGATCACCATGTGCTATGCTTACTTTCGAACCAAACGACACAACACTCATGCTGTCTTCGATCTTTTCTTCCGGTAGCTCCGACAGAGCGGCAAGCTTGTAACAAGCTCTGCTCACGTTGTTGACAGCCAAAACCCGTTCGACGGGGAGTACACCATCTTCGCCGGGTTGAGTGAGGTCAGGCGACATTACGGCAGCAGCGGCATCTCACAGACCTGCAGGTCATAGCCTTCATGAGCAACTATCGCTTCACGGACGAGCACATCGAGTACCTCAAAGTCCAGGCAAGGAGAGACAAGCAGAAGGAGCGACTGTGACGTCTTCCTCTAGATCCCTGACGCCACTGAAGACTTCTTCGAGTACTTGAGATCGCTTGATTGCTCTGAGGTTTCAATTCCCCTCTCCTTGTCCTTGGCGCTTGTCCTTGTCCTTGTCCTTGGCGCTTGTGCTTGTGCTTGTGCTTGTGCTTGTGCTTGTGCTTGTGCTTGTGCTTGTGCTTGTGCTTGTGCTTGTGCTTGTGCTTGTGCTTGTGCTTGTGCTTGTGCTGTGCTTGTTCCGTCTTCCCAGCTTGACATCGACGCAGGTCAAGATCTACGCCTTCCAGGAGGGTTCCGTTGTCTTTCCTCGCGAGCCTCTCCTGCGTGTCGAGGTTGAGAGCGACTGAGGTGGGCCCGGGGAGCTGAGGACCAGCAGGGGCCCGTCGGGATCTGTCAGCTACTGGAGACAACGTTGCTGGTGAGGAACATCCCGACGTGGGAGGCACGAGACCTGACCGGAAGTAGTGTATCGTCAACTATGCTTCTCTCGTGGCGACCAATGCTGCAAGGATGTGAGGGGCCGCCGGCGTCTTCTCTGTCAGCTCACGTCCTCCTCTCGTAGGCGCATGGCTGTTGGCCCCAACAAAACGCTGCTGGAGTTCGGCCTACGACGATCTCAGGTCGACGTTGAGAAGTGGCGAATCTTAGTTTGGATGCGGGAGGGAGAGGAGGAGGAGGGAGGGAGAGAGGGAGGGAGGAGGGAGGGAGGGATGGACGGTGGGGAGGAGGAGAGAGGGAAGGAGGGAGCGAGGAGGAAGGGGAGGAGGGAGGGAGGGAGCGAGCGAGGGCAGGAGGGGGAAGGGGAGCGTTGTTGGGACTTGGCTTCTCACCTGCTGACTTTGTTGGGGTATCAGGGGCCTGACGGGGGAGTGAGTGCGTCGAGATATTCCTACATTGGAGGTTTCGACGGGACCAGGTCTCTTGCTCCTGCCGCTCTTGTTCGCCTCCCTCCGTCCCTGCTCCTCCTTCCCTCGCTCGTCCTTCCTCATCATTCCTCACCTTCTTAGCTCACATCCTCCCAGCAATGCTCTAGCTGGGATGTTGTTCGGCATGAAAGTCGGAGGGACCCACGCGCACTCGTTCGTGCAGGCACAAGTCGTTGTGCTCGATTCTCTCCCGCTGACGTCACCTCAGTCCTTCTCCTCCCTTGACGACCTCACGACGCGACTGATCGAATTGCCCGGCCGCGACGAGACGGTCAGAAGCCTCGCCAGCCTTGAGGGCCTGACGACTGGCAGGTCGACATCGTCGACATCGTGCTCAAGTACCGATCGCAGATGGAGTGGGAGCACACGAACTCAGGTGAAAGGAAGGGGGGTGACTCGAGTCAGCTGACGCGTCATGTCAGGAGAGCTTGCTGCCTTTATCTCCTACTGCCAGGTGAGATCGAGGAAGAGAATCGGAGCGGTGGAGAGGAAGGGAGGAACGAGAGGCGGAGGGCAGGAGAGGTGGGAGGGGAAGGAGGAAAGATAGGAGGACAGGGAGAGACAGGGAGGGAGAGGGAGGGAGGGTCGGAGGGAGGGAGGGTCGGCGGGAGGGAGGGACAGAGAATAATGTTTGCTTTACAGGCTTTCCCTCACAGTTTCCTTGCGCTGGTTGACACTTACGACACTCTCGGTGATGCAAGTGATGACGTGGAATGTGAAGTGACCGTTTTCTTAGTGTCTGGCATTCCCAACTTCCTTCTCTGTGCGCTTGCCATGTACGAAGTTGGATACAATCCCATCGGTATGAAGAGAAGTGAAGAAGACAGAGGAAGGCGGCATATGAGGAGGGAGAAGCAGGAGAAGTTGGAGGAGGAGGAGGAGGAGGAGGAGGAGGAGGAGGAGGAGGAGGAGGAGGAGGAGGAGGAGGAGGAGGAGGAGGAGGAGGAGGAGGAGGAGGAGGAGGAGGAGGAGGAGGAGGAGGAGGAGGAGGAGGAGGG